CAGATCGAAGGTGTGCCGGTAGAAAGAACTTGGTCTTGACATCAGGGTTCCCACTGCCAAGTACGATGAGAAAGAATAGGGTGCATGTTGAAGGCCTGGCGTTCGCTGTCTAAATATGAGACAATCAAAGTGGTAAACGAGATGTGCTGTTCAGCTAGTAGCTCCGAACTTGTATTGAATGGCACTCATTCGTGAAGAACACATAGAGGTCCGATTTAATTCCGGCTCTTGGCTATACAGGTTGTTATCTTAAAAGCGCATTGCCCATCGCCCATCGCCAGAAGACTCAGAATGTTTTCGCGTGCTCCTCGATCGGTACAAGATCCCCTCTTCCCTTGAAATTTTCGACAATATCCGCCTGCTCAGACAACATGAACCTATCTGTCTGATTTCCGAATCTCGAGAGGACTCTCCATCTTGCAAAGTCTCCCGGGTTGCGTTTATCACCATGCGCCGCCTGAGGGTTCTCCCAGTGCCCTCTCGAGAATGAGATGAGCGTCGAAATCTTTTGCTTGGGGATGTCGTACACCAAGGAGCACACTGTTCCCGTCTCCTCCAACCAGTTGACCTGCCACAGTTCACCCGGCCGGATGCACTGATAAGTCGCCGTCTGGTAGTTTATGCGGCCGTTCATGGGCCCACCGTGGATGGCATAGACAACACGGTCCTCGGAGAAGAACCACATTTCGTATCTCCACTTTTCCGGGTTGCCCTCTGCGTCTTCGGCATCATAATCATAGATGAGATGCGTATCCCGAATATCTTTATCGAACGTTGAATCCAGTGGTGTATTTGTCTGGAAGCGGGGAAGGGTCTTCTGGGGCGCTCTGTTTGAGAGAAACATGACTCGTGCTTGTGAGAGAGATGACGTTGAATTGGTGAAGATGTAGTTCGTGTAGAGTAATGAGTTCTGATGGGAAAAGGTGAGCTAGAAAAAGTCTAGAATATCTACTTAGTTCAATGTCCGAAGCAACGACTGGAAAAGAGGTAGTAGTCCGAATTGATGTTTTATGTTGCGGATGTCCGTGGAGAAGGGGTTGTTCGTGGTGTGACGGATGTGGTCTGCCTCGGCGGGTCTGTGTGGTGACATGTTTGACTCTTAGAAGGCCATTACATCATAAGCCGAACTTTCCGGCTTCGTCAAGCTCTTGCACCAAGAAAAGCTAAGACAAAGCTAATTGCGTTCCACGAGGCGCTAAATCCGGCTCTCTTGAATCAGGTTCCTGGCTCATTGTGAAAGTGAGTTGCGGGCTCAACTTTAGGCTTAGCAATTGGATATATTGCGCGCTCTACATTAAACGAAAATCCTCTCCCGCCAACTCCTCCTCAGTTAACCCATCAAGTGCTTCACCGTCCATCTGTCCCAACACAAACGCTTCTCCTACAAGCTCATAGTACGATGGCTGTTCTCCGCGCCCTCTCTCACTCCAAAAGGGACGAAGAACACAGGGTACGGAGCATCCGTACAGGATGCACACGACATCGTCGACTTTAGAATCCTGAGGAGCTATGCCGACCAATTTCCGATTGTTCTTATCTTCAGGGGCAGCCTCGCATTCGATATACTTCCTGTTCCAACAGACAGCTTGCACTCTTTTTAAATAGTCTGCTTTGAGGTTCGTCGCAGCTTCATCTTGTTGGAGGATTGCATTCGTGTCAATATTCCCGGCCCCGGTGTCCGACACAAGACAGGTCATACAAGCTCTGTGGTACCAAGCCGGTGGCGCCTTTCCATCCGCATCCCGATCTGCCACGAGCGTTCTCCAGACAGTGTCTGCGACGCCTTGTAGCTCCGTTCTCGGATCATGCCCCAAGCTCCGCAGAACTTGCCTTGGAATAATACCTTCGTACATTGGATGAGTATCCGAGACGACTCCAATGCACAGCCCTCTAATAGTGATCGTGAGGTTCATGTCTGATGTTATTCGTCTCGCGCGGAGGACCTTTCGACCAGCCACGGGTCGTTGTCGGGACGGCGCAATGGAATCAGTTTTATCATGCTCCTCGCCAGTATTCTCATCTGAAGGTTGGTCAGGCTGCTTCGGGAGTGCATTGTCTCTGCCGAAGGAGATTGTTGGTGGAAGCCCATGAGAAGCGTTGTAGCAACGGGCCTCCGGCACACCCACAAAACTATCTCCTGTTCTTCGTCCGCCGAAGCCTTCGGTTTGCGAGCCGTAAGCAGATTCATGTACTGTTTTGATCCATGATGGAAGCTCCACGAGCCTTGGGTAATGCTCATCCAAAACCTGCTTGAGCTCAGGGAGCGCCCAGTGACGGCAAAGAATATCCAGGGAGCCGCTATCCTCTATGCACCATTTGATAAAGTTAGTGTACACTTGGAGCAAGTCAATGCTGTAGTCTGGTTCGGGCGGAGGGTTTCCCTCTTGCATGCTTTGTCGACGTTGTTGCACACTGTTGCTTGATGGCAGTTTACATGTCTCCTTGGCAAGGTTGAGGAGCGTGTATATAGTGTCTCTAGGATCGGACGTTTCGAATGTAGACAATGATGAGATCAGACTCTCGAGTCCTTGCCGGGGAGCATATATATTTCCGTCGACCTGTCGTTGGAATGTGTTGGATAGAACGTCGACCAAGATCCGGGCACCAAGTGGCTTCATATCCTTAATTCCTTCCAGCGACTTCTCTAATTTCGGGTCTCGCTTGATGTCTTTGAGGATGCTGTCGAATCGGAGTGCGAAAATGCTAACAGCATCTGAAAAGTCCCTCCAATTGACCTTCTTTGAGCCGCAGCGCACCTCGGCACTCTTTGCTAAAGCAAGTTCTTGAATGATCCATCGCCGAGAGAACCATCGACGCCGCATGAGATGCAGAAGCTCCGACCAATTTGTCGCGTACCTTTCTTTGAACTTCTCACCCGTGTCGTCTTGAAGTATGAAGCTGATGAAGTCCATTGCTCTGTCAGTCTTGCCGTGCTCGTCTGCTGGGCCTAGCCAAATGGCGACATTGGCTGCGGTTGAGTATATTTGACCCATGATCGCGACCTGGTCCTGCTTCTCCTTGTTGTCTTTTTGATTGATGCAAATACGATCTACCCAGATGGCCACCTCTTTGTCCGGCTGTCGGAATTCCTGGAGAAAAGCGTATAAATTTGGTTTCACGCTTAATCGCTTCATTTTTCGGTTGAACTGAGTCGCGACTTCTGAAAAGTCGTGCATTACCGGTACACTTGGCGGCTCGTTATCCTGAAGCATATCGACGAGAACGATCTTGTTCTCGTCTCCGGTGCCCCAGTTGTATGAAAGAGCTGTGAACTTGAAATCCTCGGGGTTTTCCACGATCTCTTGGATTGGGAATGACTTCAACTCGATAATGACTTCTGCAAATCGGTTGGGATTCCGTTTAAGTAACATGAGACGAATCTCACCCTGATCTATCGGGCAATCTTTGTAGTCGTATCGCTTCTCGTATAAGTTGGCTGCCCTGAGTAGCTGCTGCCCCTTAGTCAACTGGTCTTTTCGTGTGTGCGGGCCGTCAATGAACCCTGTTTGTTGTCTTTTTGCTGGAGTGGCAGGCGTGGGCTCCACTGTCCCAAAGCCTCGTTTCCTGGATGTGCTGGTGCCATTCGGAAGCTTTCCAGCAGAGGCGATTTGCCTTTGTTCGTTGTGGTATTGCATGGCTTCTTCTCGTAAAGAACCTGCCTCGGACATCGGCTCTGGGGACTCGAATCGTTCGAGCGACATTTCCTGTATGCCTCGGAGCGCTCGAGGATATATGTACGTGAGAAATTTGATTTTCCTTTTGGGGAATGAGGCAGCAAATCAAGGCTGAATGTTGGACGAGGTAAACCCCGACCACAACAAAGTCGAATTATGAGTGGGCGGTAGAGCGCTGCAGCCAGAGTGGAATGCCGGACAAAGTGTACAAAGCACTTGAGTGGCCAGGAGGGCGGAGTAAAACGAGGCACCGCTCTTGATATAAGAGAGTCAGAGGGGCTGGGGTCTCAGAATCTACGCCTCCTGCTGGCCAATTTCCATCTTGCGCAAGCGATGATTCAGCGCATTATGCTGGCAGCATTGCAGATACCGGGCTGTGAAGGCCTTGCATGTAGCTGAAAGATCCCTCACACACATGGCATGGGGTGGTCGATGGTTGGAAGCCGATGTGGTAAGTGGCAGTGTGCCATTAGGACTCAGAGTCCGAGAAGTCTATCCAATGAGTCTTTCAAAAGGCAGGGAATCAATTTCCAGATTTAGTGCCTCAACGCCAATGAGGTGGGCGCTTTGCAAGGAAGACTGATCCTGGAATGCCAGCCTGCTTCCACATCGGCAATCATTATCTCTTTCCCTATCGTCTAGACATCTCAAAGAAGACAGGGCAGAATTGGAGGTCAGCCGGGGTTTTTCCACTTCACATGCAAGAGTACCAGCTGTACAGTCAGGTCTCAAGTCTTCTGATCACCCAGGAATACCCGTTTTGTTTATTGGTAAACATGCTTATCGTTAGCCACGCTGCATCCCGTCTCACTCTACATGTACCTTCGCCCCCCGTTTAACTAAGGGGAATATTGCTTTTACCGCCGACGCACCCTGGACAAGGACTCTCTGTCTTCTCGTAAGGTCTTGCATGGCCAATACGGCATGCAGGTGATGAAGTGCAGCTTGTTGGATGTTGGTACATGTATTTTCATGTTGGATGGTGAGCTTGGCTCGTCATAGGTCTGCCTGCTCCTCTGTGTAACATTGAACCACAGGTCCACAGCCTCCCAGGGTAGAAGCGAACCGCCACACGGGCTTCCACCTGGGCTCCCACCGGTGTGCTATCCAAATTGAGCCACCCATGAACAGTCCCCTCCTCAGCTTCTCGGGAAACTGTGCTGCAATCACTATGGAAGTCCTCCGTCAAGCATAAACAGCTCTATTGCCTGTCACCAAGTTGTCAAAGTTGCTGCTATTTACTTGCTTGATTTTACCACAGTCAAGAACTTGCTTTTGAAGTCTTGATCGTTCGATGCTTTTCAAATGGACCCCTTAAGTATTAGCATGGGCGTTCTGGCCGCGCTGCAGGTTGCTTCCTCAATCCTTGCCTTCTGTTACGACGTGCGATCAGGGATGAAGAAGATCACTTGGTCGTTGATACAGATAATTGAGGAAGTCCGCGATGTTCGAAACCTCATCGAAGCAGTTCAGTCAGTCCTCGATCAGGGAAACTTAGTTGAATCCCCAGTGCCGGACCACGGCGATACTTCACTCGAGCTATCCGCGAAAATAAAGCCTGCGCTTGCAACTTGCTTATCTCAACTCCAGGCCCTCGAAGCTCGAATTAAGCCCGAGCTGATTCCGAATCTCTTGGACTCAAAGACAAAGGCTTTAGTGAACTCGATATCGTGGAAGCTAAAGCTCAACGACACGAAAGAGTTCATTGCCAATTTGCAGCGCTGCAAAGAAGGCTTGCAACTAGCCATAACTTCTCACAACGCGTCAGTCTAAGCTTTCGCCCAAATTCATGAGATTGTTCCTGACCACGGTCCGATGATTTAGAGTGACACTGCGCAATGTTGAGCGACTCACCATTTCGCTGGACTACAAGATGAATGACTCTCGAGAGCAGCTTGAACGTATAGATAGCAATCTGAGCACAGCAATACTAGGTACAAGTGAACAGGTTAGATAGAGGCGGCATTCTGTCATGTATTCTGACAACTTGCAGACGAGCAACAGAAGGCAGTGGTTGACTGGCTTTCTCCCCTAAAACCGGGCCAAGCTCACGATAGAGCTCTAAACTCCCACCAAAATGGGACTTCGGGTTGGCTTCTCGTTGGTCAAGAGTTTCAGGAGTGGTTGAAAGGGGACGTCAACTTACTGTGGCTGACTGGACCACGTGAGTATGACCTTCTATTGCTGTTTCAAATGACTACAGCAATTCTAACGAGATGATTCAGCCGGTTGTGGGAAAACGGTCATGATGTAAGTAATAGTATATATCTGGGAGCACGGTGCTCAGTGGCTAATAATCTAGACAGAGGTCAGGCCATCGACTCAGTTGCCGCGCTGGAACAACAAGACTGTCTCTCCGCCTTTGCCTACTGTGACTTTCGTGTCCCTGATACACAGATCTTGACCAATGTATTAGGAACAATGCTAGCACAGCTGTGCGCTCAACTGCATGACTTCCCCAAAGATTTGTCGAGCGCACATAAGGCCAGCATGGAACAAAACTTCGGATACCCCCCGACTGTCGAGCTGCTAAGTGGCACCATCGCGTCTATCGCTGCAACAAAGAGGGTTTACCTCTTTATTGATGCCGTTGATGAAGTCTCGGATTGTAAGGCAGTAGCGGAGCACTTGGCCAGCTTAATCGATCTCACAACAGCGATAAAGATCTTTGCGACAAGCCGCAACGACGTACAGATTCAACGGGCATTTTCCAGCGCCCGACGCATCTCCATGGAAGAGCACTTGTCAGATACTGACGAAGACATACAGAGATACGTCAGTTCACGACTCGAATACGACGCTGACCTGAGTTGGCTATCTTCAGGTTTAAGAGAGAGCATTCAGATATCACTCTTATCAAGGTCCTGTGGGATGTAAGTCGCCAATGACCAGCGCCGAGTCTAGTATTGCTGATGGCTTCTATCAGATTCCAATGGGCAGCATGCCAGCTCGACTCTTTGAGTCAGTGTAGAACCATCCGAGACATCAAGAAGTCTCTGCAAAAGCTTCCAAATGGGCTAGATGAGACTTACAGCCGATCCCTACTAAAAGTGCCGCCTTCAGACATCCCTCTCATTCAGAAGACCTTGACTTGGCTTGCGTTCTCACCGGTACCCATCACTCTACATGAGCTATGGGAGGCACTGGCCATCGAGAAAGGGAACGATGTCATTGACGACGAATCACGCCTTCGAAGTCCGCAAGACATCTTGGTGATTGGGAAAAGCCTCATCACCGTCTCAACTGACGGTCATGTGATGCTTTCTCATCTCTCAGTTCGAGACTATCTCGTCTCTGCTGAGATAGTCGAAGTCCCGGAAACCGCAAGATTTTCCCTTCGTTCAGGTTCAAGCCATCAAGAGCTAGCTCAGGACTGCCTTACCTACCTGTTGCTATCGCCCTTTTCTGATGGTCCCTCTAGTACCCAGAAGGAGTACCTGTCTCGACTGAAGCAGTTCCCACTTCTCAAGTACGCAACCAAATACTGGTTCTACCATGCTCGCAACGCAGACTACAGTGAAGAGACCCAGGAACTGGCCATGCGGCTCTTCTCGGAATCTGGTCGGCAAAACTTCATGTCTTGGGTCCAGGTCTTTAACGCAGATGCCTCATTCAAGTGGGACGTGTATCCGCGACACGCTACATCACTCTACTATGCTTCGTCTATAGGTCTAGATGAGGTGGTGGAGTCTTTGCTTCAGTCGGCAACACCCGAAACGATCAATGCACCGGGCAGCCGCTTTGGAGGAACGGCCCTACATGCTGCAGCTATAAGAGAACACATCACGATCATCAAACGCCTCATACTTGCGGGCGCTGAACCAGGCAAGCAGGACTTCAACGGTGTATCGCCGTTACATAGCGCTGCGAGTCAGGGCAGTATTGATGTGGTCAAGGTGTTGTTGAGCAACGGGGCTCCGATCGATGTGAAGGATGGAATGGATGGAACTACTCCACTTGATTGGGCACGTTTAAGTGGTCACGAAGATGTCGCGAACCTTCTGCTAAAAGGCCTGGAAGAGTGCTCTCCGTCACGTCCTTCTTCGCTGGGATCACCTCCTAGTACACAGGGATCTCGCACAACCCAATTTTCTCACAGGACCGAAGAACCGCAGGTTGGGATCTGGCAGCCCGGCGTGGGTTTCTTTCCAGACTACTACGAAAAGCGCTCCGGACTAGAGTCTTCGCTTGTCCTGAGTATAAGCATTGGAGAAGAGGCATCGCAAGTCGATGGCGAGTTCTTACAATCTCTGGAGAAGACTGAGGAACCAAATCCAGTTTGGTAAGGAGAAAATGTTGAAGCCAACCTGAATAAGGTACTTGTAGCCTGGAGTGGTTTAGATACAGGTCACTCTAAGTTCTGCTGTCAAAGCTGGAGGCTGGGATTGCCCTCATATTCTAGCCAAAGCCCACATCTTATAACTGTGTCATTTGTTCGTGTTTTAATCGAAGGTTTGCCGAGAAACTTTTTACTCTCTGAGTAGTTGTACTGGGTATTGCGGCTCTTTATCACGTCTTGTGTTGACGAGTGAACATGGTCACAACATCTGAAATCGATCCTGACGTCCAAATTAGACTGACCCACCTCTGAACGTTGTCGATTGCCGACATCCTTTCTTCCGCTGTCTATACCCTGCGTCGACTGTTGGATCCCATCCCATCAGGTATACGTTACAGCTGTACTGGAATACCGAAGAGACATGAAGGATTGTCTGCTACTATTCGGATCCAGAACTCGAGTATTCTGGCCGCCAAATCGGCCTTTCAAGAGAACTTTAGCGGCGCTGAAGAGTTTCGAAACGCTTGTTACTGGGGCGGAAGCGTGTATCTACGTGCTAGGTGCTCTTGTCAGTAAACGTTATAAATTCGGGACCCAAGATAGAGTCCATACCTATTCCAGTACCATGTACCTTCTCATCCCATACTTATGTTGAAAGGAACAGTTTGCCTATCCCCATGTCGACCCAAACCAAACTCGCTCTGACGAACTGCGAAAGATTCTCCGGCGCCGAATCTTATGCTTCCGACGCCAAAGGTACCTTCGGAGTCGAAATTCGACGATGATAGGTGCTAGACACGATCTGAACATGGTTGACCTTATCCGCGACAACAGGTTTCTCGATTTTCTTATGAGAGAAGCCTCCGAAACGACTAATTCGTGAGTCTTAGCTAGGTATAGAGCACTTTAATCAGGGTTTCCCATATAAAGTAAGCTTCCATCGATGGCTTTGTAGGAGAGGGTGGTACTGGAGACCATCGCGATCTCAAGTTGGGCAAGTAGCTTAAAGACTTTGAGTGAGAGCACACTGTTTATAGCTCGATCCCCCCCCCTATCTCCGTTCTCTTCGTCCTTGATCATCTCTTCCAGGGATCTAGGAAAGTTCATTCTCATTGACTCGGTTCAGTTTTCGGAGTTGCCTAGAGAGTGTGAGCAATAAGACAACATCGTCAAAGAACACCTTGATGGGTACACGGTCAAGTTTATCAAGGCATTGTTCTGCAATGAAGTCGAAAACAGTGGAACAGAACAGGCAGACGAAGCAACAGCCCCAGATCAGGCACTGAGCTCAGATTAACTGGACACAGACCGCCTCGAGCCCTTGAATACCTCGACTCGGCATGTTGTGTACCTTCTACTTTGAGATTCGACGACAAGCAATGCTGCTCGCGGCAAAGGGCGGACGTTTAGTACCCCTTTGTCCGTGTTGTCTCGTCGTGCTGTGACCTCGACAAGCGCCTTTGTGTTGGACAAGCCAATTGTCAATATCAGAGGCCTTCTGTCTCAGCACACCTTGTCTCGAGATTCTTTGGCATTCTTTCCCGAAGCCAGGGGGCCGCGCCAGGACTCGACTCATTGGCATATATCAGGAGCGAGTTGCTGCCTTCTCCCAAACCGCAGACCGTTGACTGTACATCACTCACATCACCTCGCATTACAAGAAAGCCACACATCCACTGCAAGAAACTCCAAATCTACGATCAACAACCGACACAAGAGAGACTCATCCAAGGTAACCAACCCCATCCCCCACCAAAAACTCACAGAAACCACAGAAAACCCAGCCATGTGCATGAAAGTCTTCGCCCTCCAACGCTGCCTCAGCCCCGAAAACGGCGGCTGCGGCGACTACTTTGCAGAATACCTCGAGCAGCGCGAATGCAACCACATGACCCTCCCCGGTCTCCCGCAACACAAATGCCGCGCCGTCTGGGCCGGCTTCGAAGACGAGCGCAGCGCCAAAGCCCTCCACCGCGACGAGTACGCCAAGCGCGCCCACAAGCTCTGCGCGGACTGCCGCGTCCGGCACCGGCTCACCTACCTCGACAGCGAGGCGCAGGCGGAGCGTAGGGGCGAGTACTCGAATCGTATGAAGACTATCATCGAGGACCTGACACGGCGCGCGGATTTGGGGCAGATGGAGTTTATGAACCGGGTGTATCGCGACATGTGGGATGCTGCGCTGGGGTATGTTCAGGGGATGGCGAAGACGACGGACGGGGTGTGGAATGGGATTGAGGGGGCGCTTCGGCGGCACTTTGGGGACAGCGGGATGGAGATGAATGTTGTGGGAAACCTGGTCCGGGACTTGAAGATTGCGAAGGAGGAGTTGCTTGAGCAGGTGATGACTTCGACGAGGGAGATGGCGACGGCGCTGGTTGGGCCGAATATGGATTTCCAGCAGGATCTGGAGGCTGGTGGGTTTAGGTCTGGATACATCACTGAGGAGTGGAAGCTGCAGAGAAGGGCGGCTGTTGATGCCTCGAGGGCGACAGCCGAAGCTGGGGACCTCGAGAGCGACGACGAGATGGGGCGAGAGTATGATTCGTCTGCATCGGTTGGACACATGAACAAGCCGAAGTCCACAAGGTGAGTGTAGGTAGAATGCGTAGTGACCGACCTATTTTTATAGCTCGACAATATTTTGCCTTTGAGAGGGAAACATGATGCTCAGAGCTACTGCTTCCAGTTGATTATATCTTCATCACGACGTTTCAAGATGTGATCTGGCAATGAACCATGCCATTTGATCATGTGCCCTTGGGTTGTCTTTAACGACCAGAAGCTGTGTCTGTATGGGAACCTACTCGGTACAGGCCCAAGTCTATCGGCGACATAGAGGTTTTCTTGAGCAGGAACTTTCTACGCTCCGGATATAGACCGGAGCGCCCCGCCTGGAGCATACCCGCTCGGTGGGGCCAGCGGATCTCGACTCAGGGCCACCCAATAGTTGCTGGTACATGAGCTCTCAGTTCTCGCCGATCGACACGAACCCTGGACTCGCTTCAGTACCTTCCACTGGCGTTGTGGCAGAGTGGTCTAATGCGCAAGACTAGAAATCTTGTTCCTTCGGGAGCGTCTGTTCGAATCAGGCCAACGTCGATCTTTTGCTTTTGCCGTGGTGGTATTCGTTCGTGATGGCTGCTTGCTATCCTTTTGCATGTCAACAGTCATTCAGGATGTCAGTTCCCGTAAATGCGGCAAAAATTGGGTCTGTGGAGATAAGTTGACAAGAGAGCATGTGCCAGAGATCAACATCCCGCAACCGTACGGCGTTGGGCCGCTCGCCTCGTGTTTTCAGGGAGCTAGCTCAATGCGCTGGTCTGGCACATTCCACATCGCCCCAGATTCTGAAGCTCCAACGCCAGATACGGGCCGCCGCGTGCGTGACGGTTTATGGCATGTATCGCATGTCGTTGTCGTTGCCGTTGTCGTCGCGTCAAGTTCGCTGTGTAACGAGTCGGAGCAATTCTTGTCTCGTCTCATCAGGGACCAGGTGATGGGGCCAACGGCGATCATAGGGATGTGGGCAGCCATCTGCCTGGCTGGTTTCGTCTTCCTTTCATCCTTCCATTTATCCCGTTGGGACGAGACGATACGGTCGCAAAGGATGGGATGATGGGATGATCTGCGCTAGGCACTGCGTTATTGGGAAAGTTGCAGTTGGTACTGGAGATGTAGAATCCCAATGCTAGAGAATGGGAATGACATTTGCTTCGTGGTGAGGTTTGCATTAGTTGTGCAGAGTTCGATGGCATGTGCTTGTGCTATGCATGTGATTGTAATTACATAAGCCAGGCGTTTGACGATATTTATGTAAGCCACGTTCCTAGGCCAGGCGCTGTGTGGGATGACATAATCACATAATCTGGCGTCTCGAGCTCGGCGTCAGAAGGATGGTGGGGGTCGGAGAAAACGGGGCCATTAGCACTGGCGGATGGATCTCTGGATTCTGGAATGGGTGTGCTTCATTTCGCCTTGCGTCTGCCACGACCCAATCAGACGCACTCGGAGGGTTTCTGATGTGCTAAGGATGTCGTGTGGATGTCGATATGTGGGATGGTTGCCCAGAGTCCAGACGAGACGAGACAAGACAGAGAGAAAGGGAGGAATGGCGAGAGGACAAAAGTAGCGACGAAGACGAAGACGAGGCAGGGAGTCGACAATGAGCCGTCTGTTCCGAAGACCCGGAGGTAGCAGCCACTGGGCTGATGCAGTCGGAAGCCATCTATGGTACCTTGGCTATTATTATTGATTTCCGGGCAGGCATCTGTCTTTGATGGAGATTGGAGAGACCACTGATGGAGGGGAGGACTGGACCCTTTCTTGCCCTTACCCGATGGCCTGCAGCAACCCTGGTGCGTTTTTCCAAGATCCATCATCATCCATCGAGGATGACATGATGGATGACATTGACACGGCTAACCTGCAGCAGTGGGCGCGCCAGCCCGAGCGGTGACTCTGTTCACTCTCCATTCTCTGAGCCTTCGCCCTGCTGAAATCCTTGGAATTGGGGTCCCGAGTCCTTGATCCTGGATGTTGCGTAACAATGATTAGTGTTTGCAAAAAGCCGCACGGCCCAGCAGACAAGGCCGAGTCCTGGAGTGCTGGCAGCAGCAGCCAAGGCCTTGGACTGTGAATGTCTGAGCATTCGCAGTGTCTACTATTGCGTTTTCGGCTGTTCCTTGGCAAGATGTTCTATGACTTGAGAAGCTCGGCATGAGGATACCAGGTTAGTAGTCACTTGAATGGCAGTAAATGATGAGAAGGAGATATGCAAAGTCCAAACAAACCAGGCCGTAGACGGACGGAGAGACAGAGAGATAGAGAGATAGAGGCCTGACTGGCATGGCATGGACAAGGTTCTCCCACGCAGCCGCCAAAAGCAGCTGGGAGTAATACCACCTCGCATACTAAGAACCGGGCAAGGCATGGGACAAGAGCAGAAAAGAAGTGGTGACAGCTAACGGCATCCAGCAGTTTTTCGTGCCTGCCCAACCTGCTTACAGATGCTCTCCAATTACCTCTATTCGTTATCTGCTGCCTCTTTTCCTTCCATCTCTTTTTTTCTCATCCCGTCATCCTGAACCTGATTTTGCCATCCTCACAACTGCTTTGCTCCCACCTCTCTTCCCCGCCATACCTTACTATTATTGCAAGGTACTCGTCCTTTCATTACTCCTTCCAGGCAGGCGTATGACTCGGGTTTTTCTTCTTTCAACATCCTCTGTCTAATGCCCAGCAAGCACCGTTACCAATAGCTTGCATCGAATCTCCAAGACATCCCTCCACCACAACCACCACCACCGCCAACCAACACCACTCCCAACGCTCGCGCCTTCACACACGCATCTGACGCCGACGCAAACTGACGCTGATACACCATCGCATCCGAGCCAGGACAGACGAACTATGACTGCGCCTCTGTCTGCAAGGAGGTGAATGCGTCTCGCTCAAGAGGCTGAAGACTGACACCGTCAACGTCGTCTAGTCTCCTGTGCCAACACTACCAGTACCTAGTTTTCGGGGACTATATTGGACTTGGAGGACTGGAGTCGCGAGCTCGATCCAGCTTCCCTTCGCTCGTTATCCGCCAACCTGACTCCGTAATTGCTTCCTCCTCTGCGACCACCCGCCACCCCTGCGCCGGTGGTTCGGATCGCCGTTCGCGCCTGAATCACCCATCCATCCAGTAGCTCGTCCGTCCCGAAACCACGACGATGTTTTCCCATTTACGAATCCACCGGAGGGGACAGTCGAATCCCACTTCGCCAAACCCCGAACAGCCCTCGGCCGCTGCTCCCTGGGATCCCTCGCTTCCACAGCAGCACTCTCCCTTCATTCAAGATGCCGCCTTAAGCCCAGACATGCGACCCCAGGCTTCGACGACGAATTCCTCACTGCCTCCCACCCTGCCGCCCATTCCCCGCGTCACCTCATCCAGCTCCGAATCGCCATCCCCGCTCGAGCGACCGACTGTCGATACCAAGATCAGGGTGACGCCAGAGCCCAACACGCAGAAACCCCAGCCGCCCGTGCCTCCACCGGTGCGCTCGCCATACAACGCAGACTCTGGCTTCCTCGGTGGCGTCGCTTTGCGCAAATACCAACGCGAGCAACAGGAGCAACAACAACAGCTCAAGAAGCAACAAATGGCGGCGAAATCACCGGATCTGGTCGCGTCTCCGGTTCTTCAAGGCAGCCACGAAAGTCAATTCACAAGGTCGAAGCCCGCACCCCCGCCGATAAACACCGCCCCTCCGACGAGACCCCCACCGCAACCCACGAGCGCCTCAAAACATGCCGGCTCCTTTGCGACCCCGACCGAGCTGCATCACCAGGGCAATACACAGAGCTCGCCCCAAGCTCAAGCCTATCCTGCCACCGGACGTCGCCCTGCAGGAACGAGGTTGTCGAGCGAGCCAATCCGCATGGCAAACCATGGTTCCGATGCCCCGAAGGGTAGGAAAGGCCTGCCTTTTCTGAAAAACCCAATGTCAACACTGCTTGCACGGAGAAAGACAAGTCAAAATGCACCAGACTTGACGCCTCTCCCGCTGGGAGGAAACCCGTCATACGATCCTCGAATTCGCGGGACAAGAGTTCATGACTTTAGCGCTCCACGACCACGACGAAGCATCCCCAATAATGAGGGTCCCAGCCCTGCCGCGGCGCCAACCCCTGGGACGAAAGCACAACCGCCGATACCTGAGGAGATGTCAGACTTGGGCCAGACGTCGTCCAGAGAGAGCGCAGCACCATCACAAGCATTTCAACATGGAAGGAATACAAGCAGTGCTTCTGAATCTGGTCACTCGGGCTCCGTCAGCGTCATATCACAGCCAGCTGTTGAATCAGGGAGCGGGTCGGTGAAGACAAGAAGCAGCTTGAACTTGGAGTCAAAACCTCTGCCCGACGTGCCGCCCAAAGATGATACCGCACCATCGTCGAGCTCGGCCTCAATCGTCTCCAAGAAGCCCTCAATTAGTGCGTCCTCGATCTTATCCAAGAAAACACCGTCCACAAGAGCAAACCCTTCAAGACATGCCTCTGTGTCTGGGCAGGATGTTCTTTCTTCTGTGCCCCGCCGATTGAAGAGTACGTCCTCCAGATTCAGCTTCGACATGGTCGGCGCGGCAAAGCAGGAGAAGCTGCTCGAAGAACGACATCGTCAACGCGAACTCGAGAGGAAGACGTCCGACCCTGAGCCTAGCGGACCTCGTGATTCTAGGTTCGACGACTTTGACGAGGACTTTGATTACGATGCGATGATGGAGGACGACGGGTTCGAAGAGCCGATTCCGATGAGCAATGACTTTGGAGACGACTACGGATACGAGGAGGACTTTGACGCTGGCGGCACAGATCCTTTGGGTCTCGACGACGGTGAAGACTTCGATGCGGCTGGAACCGACCCCTTCGCTCTTGATCCGGTCCCAGAAGTTGAGATCGAATTCGACGAGGATGCTGCAAACGACCCAGACAACGATCAAGAGAACTTTGCTGGCTTTGTCTTTCAACGATCAGGCCCTCCCTCGGCCTTGACCAGTCCACACAGCGCCGGTCTGTTAGCGACGCCGAGAGATGCAGACGGAAAGGTGATTGGATTCGCCATCTCGAGAGATACGCCAGATCTGAACCAGCTGTTGAGTCCCGGCTTTGCTCCCGATCAGAACTTGTCGCCCACTACGACTGATTCAGCTGCCGAACTTCCGATCGACGGCTTGAATATTACCGATACGAAGCTGCAAGACGAGGACAAAACGTTGCGCGAGCCAACCCAGTCTTTGTCGCCCGCTCCTCTATCAGTCCCTAAGAAGGACGATCTCTATTTTGATAACGGCCTTCTCGATGAGCTGGAATTTGCTGGCGAGGGGGACGGCTCTTACTTTGACGAGTCCATCTTTGATCTGGACGATACGGACAAGTATGGCCGTCCTATTCCGGGCGCCTTTGCCAGAGCTCAAGCTGCCAGAGCTGCGATGACTGGTGGCACCACCCAGCCTGAGAATAAAGTGCAAGGAACCGATGCCGAGGTCGGCGAAAGTCAAGATCCTAGCGTCCAAGACGGCAGTGCCCCTGACAATGTCAAGAGAATCTCAGACAGCACGTCTCGCCTGTCTGCGCATTCCAATGTATCGCAATCGACAGCCCATACTTCCCTCAGCGTCGGTATGCCGGCTCCTTCTGTCGACGAGTCCAAACGAGGCAGCGATGTCCTGGCCCAAGGCCAGGAATCTTCCGCAATGACCTCTAGTTTCTCAGCGACGGGCCAGGACAAGGTGGATGCTTATCAAACTGCTCTGGCGGCAGCAGCGTTCGAAGCCGCCGCCAATGGTCGTTTTCGACGAGACTCGTCACCCCCTCCAAGCGAGCTGATGTCGCCCAGTGGAGAATCCTTAGATGACCTTCCACAGCATGAGAATATGGACGACTACGATGATTACGACGACACTGGGTTTCGCGAAGACCTGAATGATTACGATGTCGACTATGACGACTTCATTGCGGAGGCGAACGCTAGTGCCCTTGCCAACGACTCTGACGGTTGGTATGGTCAGGAGTTTGGGTTCTACTCTGCTCCTGTCGAAGGAGGTGGGCGCCACAGTAGGGATAGCTCCAACGGATCGGATGAGAAGCCTTTCGAATATGCTAACGGCGGCTTCTTTGGGCCGTCGGGTGTATCCCGAAGCAAGTCCGGGAGGATAGTATCTCGAGAGCCCAACCTCACGCCTATCACGGAGAGATCCGAGTACTCGAATCGTAACTCGATCATGAGTCTCGCGGTCCCGCCTGGCATCGGTTCCGGTCCATCAAGTCTCCAGAGCCCTGGCCTGGCCCAACTTGCCATGATGGCTGATGGTGACGATAATATGAGCCTGTCAGCGCTGATGCGGCTTCGTTCAAGGGCTTGGGGTGGATCACAGGCCAGTCTGGTCTCCAGTCGGGAGGGGTCACCAAGATCTGAGAGGGGCGAAGGTGGAAGCTCACCTTGGGGCCCGGGGCCTCACAACATGCTGGGCATACATGGCCATGGCCGTAAGAACTCGGCATTCTCTGTTCGCAGCCGCGACATGGATTCTTCGGATGCAGGCAGCACGTCGGGCTCCCCTACTCTCACCATGTCCATGCCCACTCTAGGGTCACCGCCTCCGCCTCTGCCACCACTGACACAAAGTCCTGCGGTGGTCATGAACTCTCCCCACTTCACGCACAGCGCGGCATTCGACCCCGTTCCGGAGTCCGACGAGATGGATGAGCTGTCAATCTCCAACACCATTTCCCACTCGGGCTTATGGATGAAGAGCCCGGATACAGCTATGCATCCGAACCTCGTGCCCCGGATCGACCCGACGCCCCAACCTCAGCGGAGGCCTGGCATGGGTCACAAACACAAGGGGTCTGCGGACAGTATATCATATATCAAGGAGGAGGAGAGTGGCGAGACTAGATGGGTTCTCGAGCGACGTTTTACCGCCGATAGCGGAGAGATTGAAGTGCAGCGGGAATTCGTCGGCAATGGCCAGATTTAGGATATGCGGCCTCCAGAATTGCACGGCCAGGATCAAGGTGGGAGAGGCGATACTCCAAACGTCGGGCTGACTGCGCCCGACATTATCGAATGATATCATCCAACAGCGACGGCGTAATTGTTTTGAACACACGATACCTCAAGCAGAGTATGAAATAAGGGATTTAATGATGGCATACCCTGTATAGAGTAAGCGGCCCGAGCCACAGGCATTTACGGATGCAGTGTAGAGAGCTATGGCACAAGGCTGATGCCGGCAGTCGAGTTGGGAATAGGATAACCAAGAATAACTAATACCTTCACACCTGCCGCCTCTCGTGACTTGAGCAACCCACAATGAAATGTTAAGATCCATAAAGGTCAGTCATATATAGCCCTAATGTTCTGATCCCACGTTTTGATCCCAAGTACCTACCTAACCCAAAGGATCTCTTCTCACGTCCGTTATTCCATGAATTTAATCTGACACAGTTACATTGAATCAGTGACGTTCTACCATCTCACCCTTATTTTGTCTCCTGATGAGTCGATTGGCTTGAAAATGCATCAGAAACTTCAGACGAACGCGATTGTTATGTACTTCCAATTCCAATAACACAGTATTTACAAGAATCGAGCATCAAATCTCATATATGCGCCCCCCCCCCCTCCACTCCCCCCAAATCCATTTATTTGTAGCTTCATCTCATTCCATCATATCTTCATCACCAGCATCAGTCATCAACACCCTACCTCTCCCTCCCTCCAACATCACTCGCAAACCCCTCCCTCCCATCCCAGACTCACTTGGACGGCTCACCATACGCATAACTAAAAGCAACAGGCGTCCCAAAGTTAGGCGAGCCGTTACTATGCGTCCCGAGCATCTGCACCATGGTATACCGACTGTCATCGCACGCGCCCGCACTATTCGCAGTAGCATGGTACGCAATCCACGTCTGATCCCCCTTCGGGCTCGCAAAGAAGCTATTATGCCCCGTGCCGTAATGCCCATTCCCACTACTCAGCACACACCCATTCCCCTTCGTCCACGCCGCGGGGTCCGTCGGCGCCCTGCTCCCGTCCCAGGTCAACAAACCCAGACAATACGACGCGGACCAGCAGTACGACGCAGAGTACGCGAGGTAGGTCTTCCCGCCAAAGTAGAGCGCCGCGGGGCCCTCGTTGACGGGGTGGGAGACGCGTTCCCAGGATTGGGTGGGCTGGGAGATGAGGGCGACGGAGCCGGAGGTGGAGACGTAGTCCGTATTGAGCTTTTGAATGCAGATGGATTGGTAGGTTGCGCCGTGGAAGCAGGAGAAGACGAGGTATTCGCCTAGGGAGGGGGTGCGGAGGACGGAGGCGTCGATGGCCCATTCGTCGGGGCCGATGCGGCCTACGTAGGTGTAGGCGTCCCAGGGGGTTGTGCCGCCTGTTGTGTGTTAGTGACGAGGCTCTCATGACATTGTTTAAGCTAGTGACGAGAAGAAGAGGAGTGTGTAGGTGAGTGTGTGGTGCAAGACGTACCCCTCAGAACATGCATCCTCTGATTATCCAAATTCGCGCTCCCGCCCGCCGTGAAGTAGATATACCACCGGTTCCCCAACCAGTGGACCTCGGGCGCCCAGACGTTGCAGCATCGCGAGGCGTCGGCGGAGGAGTAGACGACTTTCTTGGTGGCGGTCTTGAGCCCTTCGATGGTGGTGGAGCGGGCGATTTCGACGGTGGACCAGGTCGTGGAGAGGAGGTAGTAGTAGCCGTCGCCCGAGTAGGTCAGGAACGGGTCGGAGCCGCCGGGACGGCGGATGGGGTTTGTGAAGGCGGAGACGAGGGGTGCCGCTGCGAGGGCGAGGAAGGATGTTAGGGTTGAGAGGAGACGCATTTTGGGCGTGATGGGGTGGAACTTGGAGGTCCCTTCTTCTTGTGATGGAGAGTGAGCCGGTGGGAGGACGGAGTGGAAGAGGGAGTGGATGAGGAGATTTATATCGCTTCTCAAAGGTCGTTCGTCATGGAGGTGTGAAGGGAGTGGGAGGGCATCGCCGTGTAAGTCATCTTCCGAGAACATCGCATATGCCGCGGGTCAGTCTCCGTGTAAGCGAGCCCATCAGACACGCCACAAACTGCAATCGTCCCGCCAATTTCGGGTTTACTCTCCTCAGAAGCCCATCATGGGCAGACAGTTCTCGGGAAGAGGGAAGGGGAGTCAGTCAACTCGGCGTTGTCTTCAAAGTGGACCGCTCGCCCGCCGTCCGCGGTCTGCCCGGCGAAAGAGAAACCAGCCATTCTGCCAAGACTCTAGACCGCAATATCGGAGGAGGTGGGGGATTGGTGGGATTAGCGGGCGATGCCCCTGTCGGAGCGGGGGTCCGGGGGACACCCCACGATGGACACCACGCGCCGGGCATGGTCCATGGACGAAGACAATCGTGGAACTGAGGATTGTGGATGCGAACACGCGAGTCTCTTTCGGTTGGCTGGACGTGCTGGGACTGTATCGGCATTCTCAGAAACATGATGTCGAAGTGAGCTACCGAGTAGAACGGACGGAAACGTGCTCGTTTAGAAGCCGATCCCTTACCCTGCATGCGAACTGCTGTACTCCGCGCCATGGGTGCGCGTTCCTGGAGCCGACGGACGTTGAAGCTTAAATTCTCCGGGGCTCCCGTCGTGAGTTTAAGCTTACTGGGGGTAGTTCAGCAGCTCGCGTGTCGGGCTTGGGATTCCCGGCGAGTCGGGATGGCAGCGATGCAGACGTGAATATGATTGGAGCGCTTGACATCAGTGCCATCCATCTTCCCTTCTTCCCAGAATGATGTGTTCCTGAAAGCGCCAGCTCGCCAGTCATGTGAAAGGTTGCCCATAATGCCGTCTTGGAAGTTTGGTTCCTGGTAGTCTTGGCAGAGAATATCCATCAATGGTTCAATGCCCGTTGATGGAGCGGAAAGATTGTGATTCATAAGCTATGATACGGTCGCTCCTGTGGGCGAAGGGAACATACGCTGCCGTGGAATATTGTGATAGTCCAAGTCACGGTGAAGGAGGTGGGCGGCAGATAAAAAAGTCTATATCAAAAATCACAGGCCAAACGCGAGAATCAAGGGTTTCTGTATATAAAGGCGGAGAAAGGCACTTTTCGGTTTTCCTTGCCCAAGAACCCGCAGTTTTCCTATTGTCCTGTGGCAATGATCGGCCATCAAACTTTAGGAACATGCCATTGGCATGTTATAGGCTTGTCGTTCGGCTATCCTAAAGGTTCAAAACAGCTCTTCGTCCCAAGTAAGCCCTCGTGTGTCTTGGTGTATTCTATATGCAATGCACGTCGAGGGGTGATGGAGAAAGTAAGGAACCTTAAGGTAGACATACTGATGGTAGGGTCTGTGAATGGTGAACTAGACTTTTTGAGAAAGCTGATGAAACAGTTACTCGCCTCATCGAGTCTGTCCCTTGACGAGACATACAACCTACCATTATCTCCCAATAGTTCCTTATGAGACGGTACATCTGTCAGACTTGAGAACTAGGCGCAAGTCTTAAGCTCTTTTATATGGTAAGGTAGGGTAGCTTAACCAGCTGCTTGACACGAGTGCTCCGTGTGGCTGTGCGTAGATGGGAGGATTAGCAGCCAGACACGTGTCTGGTATTTAAACTCGTCGTGTACTAAAGAGATTTTCCCTTGGAAGAGGCAGGCAGGCATCTAGCTCTGGGTGTTCTGAGACCGAAGCCCAGAAATACAAGCGTACCTTGAAATGTCACTAAGCATGTGCCAATGACGACTTGTGTAATTTGGCAATGAAATTGGTTAAGTATTATATACGTCTTTGCCTGTTCGACAGCGCCTCGTGTTGGGAGTGTATTACGGATGGAATAAATCTCAAGATATACTGAGTAAATAGAGTGATCCTTGCTTAAGTCGAATTAACAATAGTGGCGGTAATACCTTGGTAACAAAGACAGGAAACTCTCTCTGGAAATGAGTTGAATTCTGGAGCTACTAATGCACTCGTACAATCAAACAACCAGTTGGTATGAGGGCTCAAACTCCATGATCACAGAGTTTAGAGCCCGCCCACGGGCATCCCATTATGTCATCCACACGGGAGGTACCTCCAGACCTGCCCAGGCACCTTTGAGCTTCCGCGACGGCAAACCTCGGCCCCATCCGCCTCCGCCACCGGAAGCCCAAAGCCATGGATGGCGCCGCTCATTGGGGAACCCAAGTGTGCAGCTGCCAGCAAGGGTCCAAAAAAAAAAACGCCTCCCGCGCTGCACTGCGCTGCGCTCCGACCAACCCGCGTCAATGACATTGTGACATTTTCTTTTACCGAGCATTTTCGCCATCGTCCCGAAATCGTCCACCTTCAAACCCGCACTCTTCACATCACCACCACCAAAACCGCCCAACAACGCCTCTACACCCCACCTCGACCAACCCAAACTCTCACAAATCAAACGCAGAAGACAAAACCCCAAGTCGACAAACCACACTCCAAAATGTCTCGCCTCCTCCGCCTCCGCCCCCTCCTAAACCTCACCCACGTCAAACCCTCAACCTCAATCCCGGTCCGCCTCTCCTCAACCTCAGCCTTCTCCCGCGGCCCCGCGCCCCCCCGCCTCCCAGCAGACCAACAAGCCGAGTTCGAGCGTCTCCAGCGCCAGGCCTCCGTCTCGAGCGCCTTCCAACACCTCGTCGAAGAGCAATCTGAACCCCCCGCCGACGCCTCGTCCACCTCTGCCGACTCATCCCCCTCCTCCTCAGTCGCAACCGAAGCGACCACAACAGCAACGGCGACCGAACCCGCTACCGCTGCGACCGCGACCCCCACGATCGCAGCAACGGACGAAGACACAATGCACCCGAACTACGTCCGCGGCGCCCCCGCAGAGTTCGAGGGCGACGTCAACCCGCGCACCGGCGAGGTCGGCGGGCCCAAGCGGGAGCCCCTTCGTTGGGGGTCTGGTGGTGATTGGAGCTACAACGGTCGCGTGACGGATTTCTAGATGTCCCGTGAACGATAATTTCGT